ACACGGCTGAGGTGAGGCGAGTCGAGAGCAGACCCGCAACGGACTCCAACCGTCACGTCCACAATTCAAACCGTCGCGGGCTGGCACGGTCAAATTGTTCAACCGTCAAAGGACAATTGGAGCATTTAACCTACTGGGCACAGTAACTGATTTTTCACTTCTCACATTGCACTCCGGGGTCGCGGAAGTCAAGCATCGCGTGTGATAGTGACATGTAATATCAAAACATATCGCGTTGTTAATGTTTTGATCTCTACTTTTCTTTTTAAAAAGAGTTTGACAATGGTTTTTTATGTATGATTTAGAAAAAAATTTTGCAATAAGAATTACTAGGGCTGTAAACAGTTGTTATTTGCTATTTTTCCTCCCTTTTTCAACAAGTGGCAGTAAGTAGCAAGTTTGGGGACAGGATCAAAACATTAACAACGCGACATGTTTTGATATTACATGTCACTATCACACGCGATGCTTGACTTCCGCGACCCCGGAGTGCAATGTGAGAAGTGAAAAATCAGTTACTGTGCCCAGTAGGCTAAATGCTCCAATTGTCCTTTGACGGTTGAACAATTTGACCCTGCCAGCCCGCGACGGTTTGAATTGTGGACGTGACGGTTGGAGTCCGTTGCGGGTCTGCTCTCGACTCGCCTCACCTCAGCCGTGTATTGCCCACTTCGTTGGCGATTTAGGACCTTCGAAATGGGAATTTTGGCGATGTGAATGATGGAAAATGTGCGTTATTTATCAGGACATCTGTTTCTGGCGGAATTGTCTCCATGTCGCAAATGTCACGGAATTTATCGCCGCCGAGAGCGGAGCCGGTCAAGAGAGGTTTGCCAACCTTCTCTTCTCTTCTCTCTACTGTCATCTGGGTGAAAAACTGTCGCTCCAAAAAAGGGCCTTAAACAGTGCCTAGGAGGTCTGAAATGCAGTCAGAATACAAAGAAAAACAAGAAGACGCTAAAGGTAAGCTTCAAAGCGATATTCAATGTACATTTTGCTAATTTAGTGAGCAAAGAACATTTCTCCATACAACGTCTTATAATTTTCTTGCTGTATGAATAATTAATTAGCCAAGTGGGATAATGTTGTTCAGGGCTCTCATAGTGAGCTTGGGCTACCTGTGTTAGAAGTAGGTTTACTTACTTCCCGAGGTGGCCACTTTTATCTCTCGTTGTACGCTCCATTTCTCCATACATTGTCTTAAAATCTTGCCGAAGTCATGCTAAATACTCGTCGATTAGAGGATAAACCCTTCAATGAAGTAAATTTGCACGACTCGATATCATTTCTGCGATGTAAGATGTTTCCTAAACAGTCGTAAATAGGACGATTTTGGCACTGCAAAATACTTCCAAAGGCGCATTATTTCCCTCAGTTTTCCATCTGTAGTCCAGTAATGGACGCCATAGTTGCGAATGACACATTTCGGTCGGACAAAGCTTCACAACTGCAAACCTAACCGAATCGCCATTTTGTTTGTTGCTACAACTCCAGAGATGCTTCACAGGATATAAACTAGGTTCCAGGCATTCAAAAATCCTCGATTAGCCTACCAGGCTTGGTTTTAAAACAAAATTGTCACGAAAATGTCACGAAAGGCACATCCGCGTACTGTTGTGTTGCTATCAGCCGCTTGGCCGAGTATAAACCTAACATTTTCTTGCAAGTTGTTTTATTCCAGCTTTTTTCTTCGTAAAACAGATCCACAGAGCTCAAATTATTTAAAGAATCGCAGGGATACGCTTTCCCTGACTACGATCGTTTTTTGTCCGTCATTTTGAAAATGAGATTCCGCTGACAATTAATCACGGGCGCGAAATGTCCACGATTTCTGGCAATGTAAACAATTAAGTTAACGAAAAAAAAAACAGAAAATGAAGCTTGACAGCAGTTGTATTTAATTTTGTAGTGGACGTACAAGAACACGATAGTTTTGGAACTTAGCTGAAATGAAAAAAAACCTTAACACTGCAGACACTAGTCTTCCGACAAGTTTAGATGCTGCATGAGTTTTCACGCATGAATTCACCTTTCAAAAGTTTCGCCAAGCGGGGGTTGGGAGAGGGGTTGTCCATGGACTGTGACCAAAACGTGACTGAAAACGATACAAAGCAAAAAGTAAAGCCAAGAAAATTGTTTCCGAAACAAGAAATTTCTATCAAGATTTTTCCGCAGCAATTCCGTTGGTTTTCCCAAAGGCTTAATTTGGCGCCAAAAGGAAACTCAAAGTATATGTTAGGGACTCCCTTACCTACTCTACTGAGTTTTTTTTACCCTCCTTCCAGAGTCCATACCGAGGGTTTCGTACGCTGACGTCATAACCAAATTTTCTGCCATCGATAGGTTTCCCGCATTCTCTTTTAGGTATGGGGTCCGCTGCGCGCTAATAACAGAAACGTTTAGGCTCTCATCGGCTAACGTAAAACAGACTGACAAAGCTCGTTAACAGAGAGAAAATATCTTTTACCGATGCTTTAGTCAAAGAGCTGGTGTTTACATTCATCAAATACCTTTGTACATTGTTGGTTGACAACCGGTGGCTATGTTAAAGATTTTGTTTATAATTAATTAATTTGTCTTATCATTACGGCTCATAAATATAGGCTAATTGTACGAACATTCATATTCACAGGAGAAAAAGGGCAATTTGAGGTAAGAACGTATTTTTATCTTTTCAAGCAAGCTTAGATATCAAGATCCATTTATGGAAAAGGATCAATTGATAATTCGAAGTTCAGACTGAGTTTTTTTTTTTTTGATTTGCCAGCTTTGTCTTTATACAGTAGGTTTCAGTCAGAGGGAATACGAAAATTGTAAGCACTTATAATGTCTGGACTCCTAAGAATACCGCCAACAACATAACATTTCGGAAAACTGATCGAGATTCCATTTTTTAATAAATTCATTGGAAATTGTACACTGTACTTCATTCATTCTGAGGTTATAGCAGTTGACAATAAACTGAAATAGAAGATAGGGCAGAAGAAGAAAAGGATGATAAAAAAGGCTTGGGCAAAAGAAAACGAGAAAGAAGAAAGAGTGAAAACTAATAGCCTTTAATTAGATTTTTACATTGAAGAAGCGGCGTTATCGGGCGTGTCCATCACTACCGTTTATTGACACTAGTCGTCTTATTTGTAAGTATAACGGTCCAGATAAGAAGGAAAGCAACGTTTTTGAACATGTTGGAGTGCAAAAAGGTGTTAATTTTGCAGTCTGTCTATTTTGAATCACTGTTGTCTGTACTATACTTCTGATGTTGGCTTAAACAGCAAAAGTTAGGAGAACCTCATAAAGCATTATATATTCATCCTTACTTTTCCAACCAACTTCTATATAACAAAATCTCTTCTCAGTCTGAATAACACGGAAATCCTATTTGGGGAACATGTAAAATTATAAACTTTTCTAGGCTATTGTTTGTAATTCTTATGATTGGTCCAAATGCTTTAACGCAAAAAAACACCCTAGGCTTTCAAAATGAAGTTTCAACACATTTTATCGCGTAAACGGCCTTTCTGTAGGTTATACATTCTCTGTGTAAAAATGAAAATATTCCTACATGTATGTGGGGAAAGCACATTGTCGTAAAACAAAAGAAATTGCTTTCCACCTGGATAATTACTTAAATAAGACGATAAAACGCCTATCAATGTATACCTCTTTTTTAATTTCATGTTTCTGAGCTCTCTCTTCTCTTAAGTATTCCTGAATTATAACCAGAAAATTTATGAAGTAATGAGATAATGGAATAGTTCATGAATACATGTATAATTAGATCAGGGGGTGATCTCTGAAACGACCAATAGAGTGTGACGAACCATGCCAAAGACAATGAGGCACAAGCAATGGTTTCGTTTAATGGTTAATAGAAGCCCATCGTGTAACTAGATTAAAACCACCGCGACAAAGATTGATGTTGTAGGTAAGTAAGAAGGGAAATTAGTTTCTAACCTAAATTTTTTTATAACGTTAGGAAACTGGGGGATTGCAAGACTGACCAACTTTTGTCTTTGGTAAGCCGGATCTTTGCTGTAAAATGTAGATCACAGGACTTGCTAAGAGAGAGCAAAAAATGAACTGCAATTATGAATAAAGGGACAATCGTTTCAAACTATTAAGAATCGAGAACATTACAATGAGATGTTTTCAAAATTGAAGCGAAAGATCAATCCTATCAATTGGATATTTCTTAAGCAACAATTCAACTTTTTCGACTATCGTCTTTGAGGAAACCTCATCAATGTCAGGAATTTATTACGCACCAGCCTTTTTGCCGAAACTGGTATCCAGTGACATTTTTCGCAGGAAAACCATCATATCTGCTGTAAAGTGTTTCCGCAATACCTACTTATGATTTGATCTTGAATGGCATGACTTTTTAACTTCCTTTTCGTCCTTTAATAGAATGTCCCTGAAAAAAAGACACGATTTAGTACACAGCAATTTCACCGTAATTTGTCTTTTTTGGGTCGGGATTTCATGTCTGCGGCTTAGCCAATAGCATTTCTTTAAATATGTTAAATTTTGGAGTTCTTTTGTTGTTGTTGTTGATAATAAAGAATGAGCAATACGGGGTGGGAGAGTCTCGTAAACTTGGTTGCGAATGTAGTATGGGTGCCTGTGGTGTACGTCCACTTGATTGTCTATCTGGATCAATTTATAGGTTTCTGGGAAACTGCCCACCTACCCCTCCCCTAAGTCAACATTAACACTTACTTCTCACTCTGGGCAAAATGTTGGCTTGGGAGAGGGGTAGGCGGTCAGTTTTCCAGAAACCTAAATTCATCCGCTTATTTCATAACTTTTAACTGTTACTCTTAGTTAGACCTCAAGCTTAGCTTCGCAATACTCAGTTGATAATTAGTTAAAATAAGTCCACTCACTAAATGCCGTGCAGCTAGTACATGCATAATAAGAAAACATATTCAAGGAATTTTCTATCTTTGATTCTTTTTTTTTTTTCAGACATCTCCGACAATGCTGCGTATCTTGATTCTATGCTCCGTACTTTCCATCATCCAGTTAATGGAGGTGGACGGGATTCGCGTTAGTTCACGTTGGGCAAATGGATTGAAGAGGATTCAAAATAACATCCTTAAACGCGCTAATCCTTTTCGAATGTTGATTACAGCCTCATCAGTGACGTCAGTGTATGTAGGTGGAACGGGCATCTGGTGGAGATCGGGTGTCATTGCTTCGATATCCCAGATGGAACAAGGGGAGAAAGAAAAGTCAATGCAAACTCTCTACATTGCTATGACAACCCTGGCTGTGTTTGACACAACACAAGCCACGGTATCCCCCTTTGCATCTGAACTAATTTCGCAGTTAGTAAACCACAGAGGATTCCGTCAGACAGTCGCTGGATTCAAAGAGTACAACAGAGTAGTAACCGAAGCTGTGATCGGTGGTAATGCAAATGACGTAGATGACATCATTGATAACGCTAAGACCCTGAGAAAAAGGATCGGAAATTTTTTTGACAATGAAGTAACATCATTTCTGAAAAACACCCAAGGGTATGATGATCTCGTTACAAGTCTGAATAATGCTAAAAGGTGGGCGAAGGGCTTGACCTGGTTTGACACCATAAGTGGTCCATTCTTTGATGCCGCCAACGTAGCATTTTGTGGCTGGCAGTTGTATAATGCAATCCATGATGAAGATTCTCCACCTGAAGTTAGGTCTCTGAATATTGCAAGTGCATCGCTGGGAGTTGCCAGCGGAGCTGTTGGAGTGACATCATTTGTTGTGGGAGCTTTGGCAACGGCTGGGAGTGTAGTGGCGACAGTAGCGGGTCCTGTCGGTGCAATTGTAGGATGCGTGCTTTCGCTTGCATCAATCATCATCGATTTAATCAATTCCGCCAATCCTTATGGCACGATAAAAGATCACCTTGAAACTATACAGAAACTGAAAAAGGGTTCCCTGCAGTACCTTCAAAATCAAGTTAACATAACACGGCAAATCACTCCCGTTTTCAAACAAAACACTGGCTTTGACACTATTTACGAAATTAACCAAGGAAATTTAATAGAAGCGAATCGCCCCGGATTACCCTCCCTGTGGTCGGGTGTAGACAGAGATCCCAGTGTAAGATTTGACGCAAGAAACAGTCCTGGAAATGAAAGTGGCTATCTTACAATGGGAAAGAAAAGGATTTTTGACAAGTCAAAATATCCTCAAAACTTCTTTTTCCGACCACAAGGTCTAGTACCGCTGGGGTATGACTTCTATGGGAACGTTACAAAACCCAACGGAAAGGGAGTGACGGTCGTTGTTAACACGGCCATGGTCGCCGAGCATTTTTGGATCAGAGGAGTTCATATTGACACTCGAGTAGAAAACGATGAAGAAGAGGGAAACCCAGATAATGTTGTGATTGGAGAAATGACTGGGCTGGCGCTATCAGGGCATTCAATTCAAGTGAACACTGGTGCTGGGGTCGACTTGCTTCAGGTTACTGGGCTGCTTTGCAATGCCTGGACTTATCACGAGATGTGCTTTAGATGTGAGCTTGGTACAGGAATCAATACATTATCATTTCAAGGTATGAACACGGATCGAGTTCGGTTTCCAGATTCCCGAGGCTCCAAAATTTTCGTTGGTATTAAATACAGTATGACAGGGTTCCACTGGATTCATTTAAGAATGAAGGACTCAGAGAGATCACCAGTAGAGGAATACCACTTTGGTTACGTTGCTGATGTGAATGTATTTCATGGTAGGTATTTCTGCTTTCTTAGTTAACTATCATAAATTATCAGATTCATTTCAAGTTCCCTTTAATTGTCCCTCCGTATTCCTGTCCTAGAGCTCAATCATCGGATTTATAGACGTCTATAGAAAAAAATAGTTCATTTACCAGTATTTTGTTCATGATAAGTACATTAACATAAAGGATGACTTTTTAATTAGTATCTCTCACATTGCTCTTCAATAATGACGAGAATCTATATCTCAGACGTATTTTTAAGGATGGCAATTAATAAAGACAAACTATGTGTTGATATATTAATTTGACCCTGGTTAGAGCTGATGGCTGACTGGTAGTAACAGTGTGGAAAGTAAATCCGACAATTCAGCGAGCCACAATAACCAAGCAGACCCATAGAGAGACAATTAACGGCCTTTTTACTCGTTTTCTCGAGCTTCGTTCTGACGAAAAACCCCTTTTTCAAGTACTAAAAGTACTAAAAAATTAAATAGTCTTGCTGGTAAATAGTTTATAACTCTCTTGTAAACAGATGGCCTTACCATGTAGCTGTCATGATCTGGTAAATCTCTTGCTCCAAAGACATTTCTTAAAAAAAAGGAAAGGCGGAACGAGATTGGATCTTTTCCAATGCTATTATTGCACGCTTTGGACAAGTTTGTTACCGAAGGAAAGTAAATAGAAAAAAAGTATAAGGGGAGCTTGTCAAACTTGAAACTTTAAAACACCTTCGCAATAACCTTTAATTAACAGGAAGCATATTTATATTTGTAGGGTCTCCATTCGATGACGAAATTGTGATGGGAGAAGACAGAAGTTGTGTGGTGAAAAACGATGGCGGAAACAACAATTACGTCATCTATCTGTCCAATGAACGCAGCTTTACTCATACGATCATTGATGACTCAGAAACACTCGGACAAATATTTCTTGTTAGGAAGAAGGAAGGAGGGGGGTATGAAAACCATGACATTCGAGACGTAGTATACGATAAAGAAACACAAACACTAGTAACGTTCATGAGAGACAGTGAAGGCAGGCACACGTTTACTGGCAGGATTATAATCAAAAGAACAAAACCAGGCGATGTTAAAGAAATGAAGCTCCATTTGGTCGAAACGTACTACTTTAGAGGCTGCCCACAAGTTCCAAGCTTGGACGAAGAAAGACTTGACTGCCACTCTTACAATACACTAGGGCACCAAAATATAAACAGAGGGATCGGTAGTCTTCATCGATTTAACCGATTCTTTGGCTGGAATATCGACGATCGACCCGTCCCAAGTGTCCCATTCCATTATGACCTTAATACCGATTTAGAAGCTAACCCAATTCCCGGCCTTTGTGGGGATTTCATTATCTCTCTTGGTCCTTTCAAAGGTACGCGTCCTCAAAGAGGTGGAAGTCACGAGTTTTCCCTGAGATTACCACAGAACTCTTTTATAACTATTAGTGATTACCTTTTGGGTGACCTAACAGTCCGGCAACCATTTTATGTACTATACTACCTTAAGTCAGATAGGAAGCTAGTATTTGAACATCGTTTCGGTTATTTGATAAAGGCACATTATACAGTCAACGTTAATGTTCCAGAGACAAAGCGCATCGTATTTGGGACGACTGGAAATTATCAGCTTCTCTTAGATCTGAGCATGATAATAGGCCAGCAGTGAATTTAGCTAGTGAATATTTTGGGTTAGTTTCCAGGCCAATTGATGAATATAGATTTACCAAGAACTATGTTAATGAAAGCTCGAAACCAAAACAGCTTGTCCTTGGAGTTCCTGCTGAAACTCCTACAGAAACAATATGGAAAATAACGTTTGGTCAAGCAAAGACGTACGCACAGGTGACACTCGAAGAATGTCCCTGGATCAGTAGAGAGGGTGTAACAACAGGAGGTTATGCGGAAAATGCATTGATTGTTGGTGATATTCTTTGGGCGCACCTTTCAAGAGAGCAAAATGACATGCGCATAGTTTTCAAACCGTCAAATACGAATAGAAACCAGTGGAGGATTATAGTCGAGAATGGAGGGCAAAAAATTCATAAGGCTTTAGTTACAGGAGCAAATACTCTTGCTTATCGTGAGGGATCAGTGAGAAGCAACCTCTATGATCTAGTGAATGGAGAAAAGAGACAGTTTAATCTTAAGAACGTGTGGCGGCCAAAAATGGATATACTACAGAGCGATATTATTGCTGAAGCTAACAGATGCAGATAAAAGAAAAATTAATGTTTAAGCTACAGTCATTGTATTGTATAATTTCAAAAATAGCTTTCATTTTAGAAGTATGAAAAGGTTTCCTTTTACATTATATATAGAGAGTGGAACAAATTATGTTGACCATGTCAGTAGTAATGAGTTTGTTATTTTCACTTTGATTTCGTTTCAAAAATCTGTAATTGTAAAGTGGACACTAGAGAGCTTAAGAAACGGGGACGGCAACGAGAACGGCAAAAAAGCAAAACAGCAACTCTGCACGTGCATCACGCCATTTTATACATGTCAGTGCACTCACTGCACGACTACAACGTGAAATTGTCTTATTTCACGTCTTGAGGAGGACGTGAACACTAGAAGGCTTTTTCTTTTTTGCCCTGAGCTTCGATCAAGTCCTTTAAAACTAAACCCCAGAAAAATTGGAATTCCATTCATTGTTCGTGGAAGTCCAAACGAATGCTGGCTACATGCAAACGACGCATGCGTAATAAAAACATGGAGATAAGGATCGCAGGCTCCTCTTGTCGCCCGCAACTAAACCCCAGAAAACTTTGCCAAAATTTGACGAATTAAATGAGATGGAATAGGCGCGACGAAGTTTGAAGAAGCAAAAATTCAACTCACTTTTTAATTCAGTGACGTTTTCGTAGACGTGGCCGCCATCGTTACTTTAGCTCTTTACTACAGACAGTGGTGACCAGCACTGAAAGAAAAGTACATACAATCAGAATGTCAACTGATGCAGGATCAATTACGACGAAATTGTAAAAGATAAATGGTCATGCTATAGTGATATAAAAAAATGAAAATTCCTGTGTTCATATTTATCTTAAAAATAAATTTAAGAGTATATTTTTAATTCCTCTTTAACAGTCATGCACCGTTCAAATGAATCGAGAGGGCGAACACTTACATGTATGAAGATAATAATAGTAACTGAATTTGATTAAAGCAGTTAGAACAAAAAGTGTTGATGGCGAAACCATAAATTCTCTTTCAATGTTCAATGTTAACTTTTAATAATACAGAAGGAGGTATTTTAACAAACAATATCATGGGAGACAAACTACAGCTGAGCCTCTCTACAAGGGCCATCGTGGGGACAGAAGAAAGTGGGCATTGTAGAGAGGTGGCCGGTGAAGAGACGTTGAAACAAGAGTCAATGTATGAACTGTCCGTCCGAGAGGTGGCCGTCAGTGGAGGTTCAACTGTACTCCTAATTTAGAATACAATCATAATTTCCAGCACACTCTCAGCAACCTACATTCGTCCGTTTAAACAATAGGATGCGGAGCCTACTAAAGCCAAAACTAAAACATGCACGTATTTGCAACCGTGTACACAAGAGAGTGTTGTTGTTCGTTTGAAAAATGAGAGCTTAAACACAAGGTTGTAATATTATGTATGTGACAGTCAAGAAGTGGTACAGGCTATGTCGCCCTTTTCAGTAATATCTAATGCGATCGTTTATGGAGGACGTGAACACACGACGACCAATTTCCCTTTCTATTTTTTAGAATTCCACTCTACAAAAATCACTTATAGAGCGTTTTCACTCACGTGGTCAGCAGGTATGCAAATTTAATGGAGCAATAGAAAGTGTTTTCATAAGAAAAGAGTTCAACTCCCACAGGATTGGTTCGGAAGGCCAACATTCTTTTAATAGAGACCTTACGACCCGACAACGGCGACGTCCATGAAAACGTCAATGAAAAATAGACTTCCCATCCTTTCATACTATTTCGCCATTATCACAAGTCGCCCTGTTGCTTTAATAGAAGGGAATTTAGGTTGGAGCTGAAGAGAGGGACCGCGCCCGAGTTCAGACAGGGATTGTAGAATTAACCCCCTTGCAGTTTCCGTGCGAAAGTAAACTAACATTTGGTCATTTCACGTCGTAGTTGCGCAGGGACAGCAAAGAAATGTCCAAAAAGCGTGATGCACGTGCAGAGTTGCTTTTTGGACGTCCTCGTTTTCGTCACCGTCATAGTTTCGTAAGGTCCCTAATACACCAATAGGGCAGTGTAAGATGCACACTGCGGACTGGACTGTGGACTATTGTTTTTAGGGTTAGAAAACAATGGGACGCCATTAAGTTTGAAAGACTGCCAATTCATTTAAGCAACGTTATAGCGGTCGTTATGGTTGCTTCGCTTCACTCCATTTTAATGCACTCCCTATAATTTTAATCAAAAAGTGTGTCAATCGTAGTTTATTTCTATCCTCCTTTCGTTTTCGTTCCTTATAGAAAGATGCAAATTGTGCATTTCTGAACCCATTTTTAGCTTTCACTTCAAGCGATTAAGATGGATAGGAAAGAATTCAGAAGGGTATAGATTATTGCACAGGTGCCCCATTTTAGAAAATTCTGACTAAGACCCTGCAAGAGTTACAAGCTAAAACCTGTAAAACGTACTACCATTTTGGAATTTTTTTTCTTTACTATTCACCTAATCCTGGGAATTTTCGGTGATGGCCGAAGGCCGACACATCTTCAGCCGTAGGCCGGTTCACTATAAAGACCTGACAGAAACCGGAAACCGCGCTGGAATAGTCTCTGGCACCCAGGGTAATTCACCTTCAACTCTTTGCAGATTAAAATTTCCCCTTTCCTAAAAACGATAGCCATAGCCACAATTCTATGCGGAGGAGAGACAATAAAGTGAGTAACAGAACCAGAAATTCGAAATAAAAGCAAAGGAAATTAAAACAGTTGACATATTCTATAGGAAATATATTGTCATACGTTTCATTCATGAGCCTCAGGGGGGCAACCCCATCCCACGTATTGACATAAATAAATTGATTGGTTGATTGGTCTAGATCAGCACTTTTATTGTTCTCTGTCAGAAACATTTGTTGGATGCCGTATTTATAGTCGGTTAAATATAATCTTAATATTGTATTTGAGTGCGAAATCCTGCGCCGGAAGTGATAATGTAACGCGATTTACGGGTCGCGAGGCGGCCTTGCCACAGGGTCCAGAGGAGTTTCGTGTGAATAAATGAATTACTTATTTAAAGTCTCACCTTGAAAACTGTCTATACCTGTCGCTTAGCACGATTAATTAGCCCAATGAGATGTTTATATATCTACTGTAAACGATTTCTTCGCTTCTTATCTGACCCAGATCGACTTTTGAAAATTAATAACCGCAAGCCATATCCTAGTCTGCTACACAGCCGTTTTTAGAGTCGTCACGCAATCCTATACTGTAAGCCGATCTTGCGAGCCCTCAGTCTCTTGGTTTGCGGTCTATAGAATGTGCAACGAAACTGCAACGTGATCAAAATAACCCATTTTTTCAGAGGTTTTCGACAGGTTTTGATGTTCTAACGACAAACACATCTCCTCTGGACCCTGTGCCCTGCTAGCGACAAAATCGCGATGAGTCTTCGCGCCGCGAGCCAAATTTTAAATAAGACAAAAAACTTCCTCGAAATGTAAACAACAAATCTCCGTCGGCGGTGCGGTCCGGAAGGAAATCTTGTCGAGTCAATATGACAGTTCTACTGTCTTTTGAAAAAAAAAAAACAGATGAAGCTCGCGCGTGCGCACAATCGTTCTGTAGGTACAAGTCCCTTCAAACACTGGAAAATGAATGTGCACAGATGATGTTGCCGCCTACTATGTAAGTTGGCCCAGTCATTAGTTGGGAAACCAGGTCCTTGGATGATTTTTTTCTCTCAGGTTAACCCTCACCCCTCTCTTTCGAAGCCTTTCAAGGTTCTCCGCCAGGGTAGACCCCACAATACTCAAGCACAGTCGCAACTTAGTTTGGCTAGCAAACAAGAGCACAAGTATTTTACCAGTTTTCCCACCCTACCCTTTCTTGGTAGTACCAGATTGCATGTTTTTCCTTATTGTTTCAGAGTTTTAATGTTTTGTAAATTATTTATACAGTCCACAGTGTACCTTCAATACTGGCCCCAGTTGTTCAAAAGGTGGATGACGCAATTGGCTCCCCCTAATACTTATCCACTGGATAGTAATTTATCCGGTGGATAGTGCTATCCAGCTTTTGAACAACTGGGGCCAGGACAAAAAATCTTGGGATACGGTAATGAAGTTTTCATAACTTCCTGTGATTTCTGGGTGACCTCATAAAACAATGCTTCCTTTTCAAAATTTTCTTGCAGTTCTCCTTCCCCCACTCTACATGATGTTGAAATCCAGAAAAGAAATCTGGAAACATGCATACAACATTGTTTGTGGTGTGGGGGGAGGGATTGGGCATGTCTAAATTTTAAAAAAAGTCCCATAAATGCAAAAGTGTCCCAAGACTTTTAACCATGATTTAAGTATTTTGGCCTCACTAAACAATCATACACACAGCACAGCTCAATAAAATACAGGAAACAGAGGTAAATATAAACCAATAGCTTAGATGCGCCACAGCTAGACATGTAAACCCTGACTAAAAGCTGTAGGGGGCAGTTATACAGTGTA